TTTACTCACGTGGTTAAATGAAACACAACAAACTGTAAAGCAACATATCGTTTCGGGTGGTGATAGGGTTCGTGATGGCTATCCAGGCATGCAATCAACGGGTGCGGACCATTAATCAACTGCTATCTGTTTTGTTGACATTGCCGCAGCGTTCGATTGCATCCATCGGGACACCCTATGGCGCATAATGGCATTTGATTCAACAAGGCTGTGTCCTGTAGGGAAGGCCCTACAGGAAAATGATAGTATTCAGCTTGCACCCGGGTGCCGGTTGACTGAACTTGACTATGCCGATAATATCGCTTTACTAGTTCAAACTTTGGCGATCTAAAGTCTACGGTGTCACGAGTGAAAGAGGTTACACAATCGGTCGGTTTGTCCATAAACGTTTGGAAGACCAAAGTTTTTTCATGCTGTATCCCTGCCCAAAAGAAGGCACCTCTCGAGATTAGTCCTGCCAACCTGAAGAAGTCGGCAGTTTCAAATACCTCGGAGGGAGGTTGCTTCCGAATGGACAGAGTAAAGATGACATTGTTGCTCGAATTGACGCAGCACGATGAGTTTTTGCCAGCATTCGGAAGTGCCTATGGGCCCGACGCGATATTTCTGTTTCCACAAAGATCCGCATGCACAGTGCGTCTGTGCGGTGCGTTTTACTATACGGATTCGAATGTTGGGCTAGGCGCATGGAAGGTGAGCGGAAGCTGGAAGTCTTTGACCACTACTGTCTGAGGAGCATCCTTCGAGTGAAGTACACTGACTTTGTCTGAAATGAGACAGTCCACACTCGCTGCGGAAAAAAATCACAAGGATATTCCAGGCCATTCAGCAAATACGACTAAGGTGGTTTTTACACGTTCTTCATCGTCAACCTCAGGAGCTCACTGCTCGAAACGTCGAAGAGGGGATCAACTCGAAACCTGGCTCGACTCAGACCGTCAGGACGTGGAAGTGGTTCTTGGACCTTCAGTATTTGGTCTCCGGCGCTGGAGAAGAGACTGGGTAGAGCTCTACAGATCCGTTGCCACCAATCGCCACGCATTAGGGGGGTGCCCGTCCGTGACACCATCGAGGCCGGCTATATCAAGCATGATCACAGCCGTAACAAGTACAAGGACAAGCATGACGTTGCATTTGCCCTAAATCACACTGCATGACATCTAATGTCGTTTTTAAAGTAAGCAGCTATTACATGATGGTGGCCAGGCACTCCATGGTCGCGTTTCGGGATACACGGTAGATAATGTTTGCCACAAAATTAAGCTTCCACATCGGACAAGAAGTTAATACGGCAGATCATACCGCTTCAATTTCCAATCCATTGATGTACCCTGTGATTGTATTTCTCCTCTCTTTGTTGTTTACGGTAGCTCCATCTCCCAGTGCCGCCAAAAGCCTATTCAATGTTTTGCGGTCAGCAGCTTCAACATGCAGTTTGCCGTCGACAAACTCAATGTGCTCCTTGTGTTCAAAGGATTGCCAGTCGTAAGTCACGGGGCCTGCGCACTGCGAAGTCAAAGAAAACAAATGCGTGTAAAGGAAGCTAATGGTTTTTTATGGCCTGTTGCTTACAAGAGATGTTTGTGGCAGTAAAAAGAAAAGGTTTTAGTAGTTGCAATCTTACCAACTTGTTAAGGTTAACACCTGCTCGACAACGTTTTTCGTTAATCTTCATCAGTAAAGTAAGGTG